TTCTACACAATTCCCAGCAGCCAGGGCCAGAGCCTGTGTAATGATGCGTGTCATCAGAGCACCCTCCTGCAATCTGCAGAGCCTGGCCACGCCAGCAGCCACTCTGTTAAATGATGTTAGGAGCAGAGCGAGAATAAAGAGTTGAAGCTGTGTAAATAAGAAGCATTCATATAGCTGGGAAGTGAAGCAATAGTCACTATGCTAACAGAATATCCTGACTACAAAAAGGACCATGGTATACACAGATCAAGGCCCTGCTTATCACTGATATCATGTAAGAGGATTACACATTGCATGTAAACAGAGATGTTTTCATATTCGCTCTTCTGCATGTCTCAGGCAATTTTCTCTGGCCTTTCTGAAGAGAGCACTTGAAATGAACTCTTAGAATATAAAGGTTAATAAGTAGCAAAGATGGCTGAGTTTTGCTAGATCTGTGGGAATCTGACTTCTCAGCAGAAAAAAAAACCAAACTCTTCTGACCTCTAAAGATATTTCATAGAGCACACATTCTTGTTATAGCAACATCATAAAATTGCATCAACTCTTCCATCTTACTTTGATGAAGAAGCACATACACTTAATTGGTCTCACAGAAGAAAAATAAGCTGTTCCATTACTGACTATGGGGCTGGATAAAGGAAGCGGTGTCGGGAAGAGGGCTTGCAGACTAATCGGCAAGGCCCAGCTTTTGCACTAGAAATGGAGACTGACCACCTTCTCTAGTGAACAGCAGCTATTTATGCTTTAGGCAATTAAAGGCAAAGAGGAAGCTGTCGTCTTCTCATATGAATGTAGTCACTCTTCTGCAAGACAGGTGACATGTCAGTTTGGAATGAAACTAACACCCTTCAGGAGGTGTTCAGAAATGGATCCTCCTTGTTATGTCCTCAAATCAAGGCTAAACAACTACGCATTCTGCAAAAGGCAGCTCCAACTCTGACAGATTTTTAAACTTAATAGACCAGATTCCAGTAGTATCAATTCCACTATGTACTGCAGAATTTCCTTCGGGACATTGTCCTACCGATGATTTACACATGCATTTTTTCCAGATTTAGTGCAATTAATTCTTCCCTTGGATCAAGTGGCTATGGCAGTTATTCTAATTCCAGCAGCTAAAAAAACCCACTCTACTCCAAGAACACGGCGTAATCCAGCTCGATTGTTACAATAGCGGCACCCTTTATTTCAGTGCAGTTTGCAGTACTATAAGCTAGCAACTCAAGACAAAATCCCTTAACATTTACAAAAAGGAAATAAAATTTGGTGTATTACTAAATACAGCCCTGAGGTTTTTATAGTCCTGAGGGCACAGATTGTGTTCTCAATACAATGAACCAATGAAGACCCAATAGTCTCAATCCACTAAAATGAAATTTTAATGGAACTTGTAAATATGCAAAGACTGGATTCCAAATCAACTCACGCAGGCTTTTGAAGCCAAGAAGAAAAAGCAAAAGAAAAAAAGAGGAGAAAGAAATGTCTCTGAAACAGTGACTGTAAGACCCAAGAAGTATTTCCATTGGTACTGATAAAGACAGAATGATCTGATGGAGACGTGACACCCATGACAACACTTTTCGAGGAATCAGAGAATCATAGAATGGTTTGAGTTGGAAGCGACCTCAAAGATCATCTAGTTCCAAACCCCCTGCCATGGGCAGAGACACCTTCCACCATACCAGGTTGCTCAAAGTTCCATCCCACCTGGCCTTGAACACACTTCGAGGGATTGGGCAGCCACAACTTATCTGGGCAACTTGTGCCAGTGCCTCACCACCCTCAGAGGAAAGAATTTCTTGCTTACATCTAATCGAAATCTCCCCTCTTTCAGTTTAAATCCATTGCCCCTTGTCCTATCACTACATGCCCTTGGAAAAAGTCCCTCTCCAGCTTTCTTGGAGGCTCCCTTTAGGTACTGGAAGGCTGCTAGAAGGTCTCCCCAGAGCCTTCTCTTTCCCAGTCTGAACAGCCCCAACTCTCTCAACTTGTCTGCATAGGAGAGGTGCTCCAGCCCTCAGATCATCTTTGTGGCCCTCCTCTGGACCTGCTCCAACAGCTCCATGTCCTTCTTGTGTTGGGGGCCCCAGAGCTGAATGCAGTATTCCAGGTGGAGCCTCACGAGAGCTGAGTAGAGGGGCAGAGTCACCCCCTCGACCTGCTGGCCACACTTCTTTTGATGCAGCCCAGGATACAGTTTGCTTTCTGGGCTGCCAGCGCACATTGCCGGCTCATGTTGAGCTTCTCATCCACCAGCACTCCCAAGTCCTTTTCCTCAGGGCTGCTCTCAATCCATTCTCCGCCCAGCCTGTACTTGAGCTTGGGATTGCCCCGACCCACGTGCAGGACTTTGCACTTGGCCTTGTTGAACTTCATGAGGTTCTCACAGGCCCACCTCTCCAGCCTCTCAAGGTCCCTCTGGATGGCATCCCTTCCCTCCAGCATGTCAACCACACCACACAGCTTGGTGTCATCTGGAAACTTGCTGAGGGTGCACTCGATCCCACTGTCCATGTCTCCGACAAAGATGTTAAATAGCACTGTCCCCAGTACTGACTCCTGAGGAACACCACTCATCACTGGCCTCCACTTGGACGTTGAACCGTTGACCACAACTCTTTGAGTGCGACCATCCAGCCAGTTCCTTATCCACCGAGTGGTCCATCTATCAAATCCCTGTCTCTCCAGTTTAGAGACAAGAATGTCATGCAGGACAGTATCAAATGCTTTGCACAAGCCCAGGCAGAAGATATCAGTTGCTCCTCCCTTATCCACCAACGCTGTAACCTTCTTGTAGAAGGTCATCAAATTAGTTGGGCACAATTGCCCTTAGTAAAGCCAAGTTGGCTGTCACCAATCACCTCCTTATTTTCTATGTGCCTTAGCACATAGTTTCCAGAAAGATCTGCTCCATGAACTTGCTGGCATAGAGGTGAGACTGACTGGCCTGTAGCGACCCGGGTCTTCGTTTTTTTCCCTTTTTAAAAATGGAGGCCTACGTTTTCCCTTTTCCAGTTGGTGGGAACTTCACCAGACTGCCACAACTTCTCAAATATGATGGATAGCAGCTTAGCACCTTCATCTGCCACTTCCCTCAGGAGTTGTAGATGCATTTCATCAGATCCCATGGACTTGTTTATCTTCAGGTTCCTTAGATGGTCTTGAACCTGATCTTCTCTGCTGCACCACTTTCTGGAAGGAAAAGGCTAGTTCTGGCAGGATGTCCAACCACCAACCCTAAGCATGCAAGATAGTGAGAGCTAACAAACCCTGGCAGAACCAGAAGTGTTGTCAGATTCTTAGAAGTGGTTAGTGAAGCCAGTGAGCCTCTTGACAAGTCCCACATCTCAGATGAATGTAATTATGCATCATTATTTTGCATTTTAAAATTCCTCTTCAGCCAGCACACATTAAAACATACCATTTCAAATTGTCAAATAAAAGACCCTGCCCTGGTAATCAGGTGTCCATAACTGAATGCTATATAACTCAGGTGTATCATAGTAAGTTGCTGTAGCTGCCTCAGTGCAAAATGAGAAGACTTTCAAGTTCCAAGTAGCTTTCTTGCTTATTTGTGACCAATATTCTTTTGTGATATCATGAAAGCCCAAAATGCTCAAGTCAGTCCATAGAGTTCACTTAAACCGTTCAGCTTATCATTAGTTACGACCAGGAAAGGCTTGTGTCAAAGGGCAGAAAACTGAACTTTCTAACTTCCTTGCTAGTGATTTTCTGCAGAATTAGAAAAAAAAGAAAACAAGATTAGAACTGACCCAATTGCTACTGATCAAGCACAAAACTCACGATGCAGCAAAACTATTTTTACCAACATCCCCACCCAGCTTCACCAGTTGACAATCTCTGAAGGTATAAGCAGTGAAGTATTACAGAAACATGAACATGCTGCGAGAGGCACAGAGAAGTGGTTGATGAGCGAGGCATCAAACTGGCTGAGGATCAGGTGAAGATGTGAGGAGCTTTCAGGGCTGAGGATAAGCACTTTCTACTGTCTTGGCCATGAAGGAGAGGAGCAGAGGAGGTTGGCACAGAAGGTGGTGCAGTAGCAAAGACCAGCCAGGAGAGTGGTGACACAGCTGTGACAGGGAAGCAGTTGCATCAGAAGTGGGGCACTGAACATCTAAGGGATGTTACAGGAAAAGCAACAGGATTTCAAGTAGGATGACATGCAGGTAACTCCCTGCTGTGGAAGTGGGCAGCAAGTAGTCAACTGTGCCCTCTGCATAGAAAAATGTTCAGAGAAAAAGAGGAGAATATCTATTTTAGCTACCTGCCTTGAATACTGATGAGCCATTCACAGAGAGGAATCAGAGACAGGCTAAGGTGCAAGAATGGCATAGCAGGAGATCAGGCAGGTCAGGATTAAAAAAGTAGTCTTGGAAAGAGCTGACCTAGCAGTGGTAACTGCAACTATGAAAGATGGTCAAACCAGGTCAGTCCCAGTCCGGAACTAAAAAGAAAATCCCTGGCCAGCAATGGAGAGGAGATGATGGATTTATAAGCTATGACTGGGCAAAAATTTCAGCATATTTCCAAATAAAATGTTTTTCATGTGAAGTGCAGTGTCAACAGCAGGAACTTAAATCCGAAAACATTTAATTTTTTCAAGCAAAAAAGCTTAAAAAGTTGAGGAAGAAAATGTGGCAAGAATGACAAAGTTTGAAGAGACTCATCAGTAGCGGTAAAAAACCAGAAAAGTAATTTTTCTGAAAGCTGTTTCCTTGTTTCCTTCTTTCTTTATCAAAAGGTAAGCTTTCCCTCTCCCTCTTGCCAATATCCAGACTTGCATGGCTATGATACCACCTAACACAATTTCAGGTCAGTAGAGCAACACCAAAATTTTCTAACTGAACCAAAGCATTCTTTTCAAGGCATTTCAGTATGAATCTAGACATGCTCCATTATAGTTTGTGTCCTGTTCACTCCTAATTAGGAGATGAGCCTTTTGGCAACATGATGTTTCCTAACCCTCACCATAGTCTTCCCTTTTGCCCAGGTGAAGGAGCAAGGAGAATCAAAAAACCAACAGATCCAGAAGACTTTTACTGATAGTAAAATGACTGAGGAGAAGGGTAAGGGCAAGGTAATGGGTAAATAAGTTGAGGGAGACCAGGAGAGAGACTTATGAAAGAAAAACTGGGTTGCTGCTGACTTTCGGAGTGCAGAAGGTGGTGACAGTAACGCCTATTTTCACTCATTATCACAGTAAGTTTATTCTCAATCATTTATAGGACACAGGGAAAAAAAATTATTTTGTGCAAAGAAATTCTTCGCATTTGGGGTTGAGTGTGTTAGGGGGAGAGAGTTCAGGCTCCTCCTTCTGCTCCCCCAAACTACCTTCTACCTCTGTCACCACTTGCAATACGAGCAAAGCAATCCCTTTCACATCCTTCTAAGTTTCATCTTCACTGAAGATTATCAGTAGTCCCCAGAGTTCTAATTTATCTCCTATTAGAGTACCATGTGGGAATTAAATTAGCAGATGCCAAGCCAATCGCCCAGGAAATTTTAGCAAAGTAGTCTTTGAAATTTAGTATAAGTGGAACATCTATTCACAGCAAAAATAGAATACTATAGGTTTCTTTAAGCACTGTGGCAGGTTTACAAGTTCATATATTCTATTCTCATCTAGAAGTAGCACAGACTCCTAAGTATATGAAATATTTATATTACCCTTATGAGTGAAAACTGAGAAAAATATACATTCTAAAGCAAGTTATACACCTATACTCAGGCTTCCTCTGTTCAGAAAATTCCTAAGTGGCAAATACCTAAAAAATATATTCTTCAGGAGGATTTGGGAGAAAGATTGCCTTTTTTCTTTACTTTTAAAGAATGACTCTTGGTATACTCTTGATCTTTTCTCATATTGAGAAGTGGAACAACCATTTACTTATCTTCTACTTCCTATGGAACCAGCATGCAAAGCATACTTTCAACTCCATAGAAACAGCATTTTAAATGTAAGTCAAATTAATAAAAATTGGTTCCTGAAAATTTCAGGGGCTTAAGCAGACAGGAAAAGAAGAATGCTTTTGTTAATCAGAAAATGCACGACAGGCTCCATACTTCCTACAGTTTGTTGAATGGTTTATTATGTCAGTGAAGACGAGCTTTTCCTTCCTTAGGAGTTAAATTCACTTAAGCAAGAAGCCACCTGAATCTTCCTTTCAGAGTCATAGTTATTCATGATAACTGTTCATACCAGAAGGAATATTTGGGTGGACAAAAGGCTTATAATAAAGTTAAATTTGGCAAGTTTTTTCTTTTTTAGAATGTCAAAATTAATATGAAGGGTTGTATCCCAGTATTCAATGATGTAATATGAATGAAGACTTTGCAGGGGAAAAAAAATAAAATCCTTAAGAGAGGAAAAGGAGGATCATTGCTGAGGTGTTTTCCTGGGAAACTTCTGAACTACTGTAGTGATGGATCTCAGAGGAACAGAAAAATCCATAACTGCAGCTCAAATGTAAATAGATGAGATCTGACAGGAATTATTTGAATGCTAGAAAAAATATAAATGATAGACTACAATCTCATTTACTTCCAGCAGGAAAATTAACTAATCCTACATTTATTTACTTGTAAGAGTCATTAAAACAAATATAAGTAGAACAAATTTAACATTGAAAAACCCTGCAATTAAAAAATTATGAATCATTCATCCAAAACCTCATCATTAAAAATAAATTACAATACATTTATTTGTTAATTGTTAGTTCAGCCCTTGAGGGCAGTTGCGTTACTTTTTCTAGCTTTTTTCTCCTCAGATTGTACAGATTAGAAAAAACTTATACACATATGTACAAGTAACATGTATGGAAAACAGGCATTGAAGAAAAAATCATGAAATATCAGGAGATCCACAAGAAAAATCAGTAGGACTGTGATGAATATAATTAAAATCTACTAGAAAAACAGAAAGAGAGGAAGACTGTTTCCAACTTGGTCCTTATAGCATACACAAGCCATAGCAAGCTCTCCATGAACATAGACTAGATGAAAATGAGCTATTTTGGGAAGAACTGAATGGGATTTGTTCCCACTACATCCCAAACCCAGCAAAGGAACACACCTCCATGCTGCCCTGTCCTCATCTTTCTCATCTGATAAAGAAACCCAGATTGAATGCCAGCACAGGAGCCCAGCAGATCCCAAAGTCCTTGAACTGGATGAGGAATGGTCATTCTCCATCCTGCACCGCACACCCAGCTAAGCAGCCACAATAAGCAGAGAACAGGGATGCACATAGAGAAAACACTGAGAAAGTGTCCAAAGCCCTACAGACAATGCTGGATTTCAAATATCTGAAGTGCTACCAGCGTTCAGACCAGCTAAAAGTAGGGATGCTCACGTCAGTGTTAGTAACTTACTTGTGGCAACTACAGATCTGAATGAGATAGATCATTGCCTTGAAAATGCACACTCTAGCATGTACCACCCAATTTATTCATTCTCCAGAACTATCACAAGTTCAAAGCTCTATGTGGAAATACATATATCAGCAAGATCAATAGTGCTGCCTTTTATATATCAGAACTCTCCAGCTCCCAAGTTACTACTTCAGCATATATGAAAGAGTAGTAGGATATAAAGGGATCAGGTTCAGCTTGATGTGTTAAGACACCAGAAAAATCAAACAGGCAAGTCTTTGACTCCAAATCACTTCAGAGGTTGAGATGGAAACTGAACAAGTTACCTACCATAACATCTCCTAAGCAGTATTAATACTTACTCTAAAGCATTAAATCATCCACTTTGTTTCTTAACACTCTTAATGCCAAGCACAAACCCAGCCTGCAACAGAGTTAACACTATCACCTGTAGCAGTCACCTAGCAGAGGCCTGAAAGGTCTTCTGACTTTCTGGAGTGTCCTTGCCAAGTTATGCATCAGCTGAAAATTTTTCGTTGTTTAACATTTGTAGAGGTTTTATAATAAAAGAGGGTCGAGACAAGAACAGAGAGAGAGCACCCACCAACCATGGTCCCAGGCAAAACAGACTCAGTTTTCTTAAAACAAAACAATTTATTAACAGTTCCTTAAAAAAGGACAAAGGGAAACAAAACCGGTTACTTGAGAGGAGAAAGAGAAAACAAGGCCAGATCTTAAAAACAACACCTCCCCACCCCTCTTTCCTTTTGTTCCCGGCTCTACCTTCCCCCCAGCGGTGCAGGGGGACAGGGAATGGAGGAGTGCAGGTCAGTTCATCCATGTTGTTACTGCTGCTCCTTTCTTAAAGGAGAAGGAGTCCTTACACCATTTTCCCCTGCTCCAGTGGATCCCCTACTCACGAGGAAAACTCCACAAACTTCTCCAGTGTGAGTCCTACCCGCAGGATGCAATCCTTCCCCATCGGATCGCTCCAGTGCGGGCTTTACCACAGTCTCGGATTCTTAGGGAGTTGTGGCCACTCGCTTCGGCGTGGATCATCCCACGGACTCTAGATGCCTCACTACCTTGTCGTGCATCCCATGTTCCATTATTAACAGTTACTCATCGTGCATCATGCGAGTGGGTCTCTGCTCCACCGAGTCTGTCCTGGCTGCAGGGGGGCCACCTGCTGTCTTGCCACCGGTTGCAGGGAAAACTCAGCTCTGGCATACTTCCTCCCGCTCCATCTTCACTGACCTGGTGGCCGTGTGGCCGTTTCTCTCAGATCTCAGTCCTCTCTGGGTGAACTTGGCCCAGTGGGCACCCTGGGAGCAGGGTGCTCCCCGAGTTCCCCAAGCGGCTTCACTGCCACCATCCTCAGCGGGTGGCGCAGGCCCGGCGCGGGCAGCCACCCAGCTGGGAGCTGGGGAGAGGGGGCAGAGCCCTCCTCCCATCTCCTCGCTCTTGGGCAAAGCACACCTTTCCGGTTCCTTTGTCCCAACTTGAATAGGGCAATTCGCAGAGGCGCCCGATTGGCTCAACCCCAAGTGGGATGGGAGTCCTATCTGATGGCCAGAACTGGGTCTGACCGGGTTCCAAAACCAGGGAAGCCACAGGGAGCAAATCCCCTCTCCTGCCACCAGAAATCCCCCCACATCAAACCATCACAGGTCGAAGTTACAGAAGTACATATAACGTTTTAAGTTACTAACAGAGATAGAGGTGTGATCATCCCACCCTACTCAGTGCTTGTCAGGCCACACCTGGAGTACTGTGTCCGGTTCTGGTCCCCACAGTGCAAGAAAGGTACAGACAGAGTGGAGAGGGTCCAGAGCAGGGCTCCGAAGATGATCAAAGGGCTGGAGAACCTGTCCTGTGAGGAAAGACTGAAGTAGTTAGGTCTTTTCTCCCTTGAGAAGAGAAGGCTCAGGGAGTACCTCATTACAGTATTCCAGTACTTAAAGAGCAGCTGCAAACAAGTTAGAGGTTCTCAAGACAAGGGGCAAGGGGTACAATTTGCACCATGAGAGGTTTCGTCTTGATATAAGAAAGAATTTTTTTACAATGAGAACAATCAATCGCTGGATCAACCTCCCCAAGGATGTGGTAGAGTCCCCATCACTGGAGGTTTTCAATATGTGGTTAGACAACGTGCTGGATCATCTCATCTAGGCTCCCTCTCCCATGAAAGGCTGGACGAAATGGTCTTTCGAGGTCCCTTCCTGCCTGAGCTGTTCTAGGATTTGATGAAGTCAGAGGGGATAGGCAGTAGTGAAGAGGAGACCCCCCCTCCCAAAGTAATTTTAGATGAACTCTTTATGGTACACAGAAGGGGGCTAGGTCCTACAGCAGAGCACTTGGCGTGAGACAATTAACCTATTGCCCTTTGAAAATTACCTTATATCTAAATCCTTGATGCAGCATTCAAATGTCTTCTACTATCTGAGTCAGGGCAATACTCCAGAACAAAAAACCTACTCCAGTTCTTAGGTGAAGTGCATAGGGAGAAGACCTGTTCACCAAGAAGGAGGATGCTCCGAAAACATTCAGGAGCAATGTGTATCCGTTGCTCCTTAGCAAAGCAGTGTCTGGCACAGTTTGCCTCTGTTGTTTCACCCTGCAGCATTGTACTCCTCTCTAAGAGCAAAACCAATTAGTCCTGTAATATTTTTTCCACTTATTACACCAAAAATCAGAGCGTTCCCTGAAGATTTGGAGATAATTTAGCCAGGTCCCTGGTTGCTGGTGTGTAAAGGCATTTTGAGAGATTGTATGACTGAAAGCAAATATTTTAAACTTCCTTTCAAGGTCTTTTCTTTATCGCATTTCCATAGGAAAGTAAGCTGAAAAGATAAAAGGTAGCTTTATGACCCAGTTGGATATGGGTATATTGTTCCTGTAGTGATGCATAAAAACAGCCTGGAGTTGGGAGTTTTGGTGTCATTATGCCCAAAAGATGGGCCAGTTATTTAGGCACATTTGGAGAAGAGTCACTGTTAGTGCTCTAAGACTTTTTTTTCCTAAAGCTATACTTCATGGTTATTGTCCACAAAAGGACTCAAGAACAGCATGTAAAAAGTGCTGGAAGTAAAAGTTCAGCCTGGTAAGAGCAAGATCTGGATGGTTGTTGGAAATGATCTGACACACAACAAATAAGAACTTACTCTCAATGCACCTCAACAAGGAGACAGAGGACAGACCATCAAAGACCTTAGTAGTAGAGACAAGACACTGCTTTGAGGAAGCAGTCTTTAAAGCACGTTTCTCAGGTTTCCCCAGTCTGTTTTGCGACATCAACAGTAGCTTCTCAGTCAAAGCAAAAATCCTCTTTACTGAAATCGGATGTACCTTGCAGGCCCCCAACTTCCAGTTCCACATGTATCTCATACCATAGATTGGGATGCAGTTGTGTGTGGATGTGTCCCTGCCAGAAAAGTATCTTAGTTGTTAGTTCTAGAACTGTTACTTGCAAGTTCAGGATCGCTTCTCTGGGTAGCCTGGTGCGTGTCTTCCTTCTCCAGTCTCAGTAATGACTTATTACTGTATTCTGTTATAAACAGATATCAGTGGAGAGGATGCTTGATAGTGGGAAACTTAGGGGAGGGAAAAAAAAAAAGGATATTTATATGCAAGTTATCTCTGCCAGAATCTAGAGCTGGCATAGCATCTTAGAAACTCACTCTGGGACCAGATTGTCATAATCTACCCAAATATTGGAGTTGAACGGAGGGAAGAAAAAAAAAAAGTCAAAGGAAAATAAAAGAAACAATATAGCTCGGGAAGAAAACTTACTCAGGGAGGGGGGAGTATGGGCACATACACAAATTAGTCACATATAGTGATTGGCAAAAAAGTCCATGATTAAGGAAAAGTACTTAAGGAAGGAAGGAAGGTAATGGTAATATATAACTTAAATTTTTTCACTATTTTTCTGTGATCAAGTGTCATGTTTTAATGCTTGAGGAAGCCAGTCCTCAGTCAGCTAGTCTTTTATTTTAATAGAGAGGAAACTGAACAGAGACTGAACTGCCACTAAATTTCAATCAAAAATAGCAGGATTCCTGGGACTTGTTTCTATCCATCTTTGCTTTCTTGCTTGCTCTTTTTTTAACAGTCTGACTTCTTTAACATTTAATTTTATGGAGGATTTCAGCATAAATATTTTCCATTTTCTACAAACATATCTGAAGCAGATTGGTGTCAACTTTTCCTAAGACTTTTTTCTTTGTGTTTCTGTCCTTTGCTGTGTCATTACCTTCATATCCCTAAGATTGCTAGACATGACTTTGCCAAGTAGTGTCTAAGGTTAATTATTTTTAGTTGTCAGCGTTTTCCCTCAATGCTTTGAATGTTCAATAATCCTCAGAACCGCAGAGTAAAACTGAGAAAATGGGACTTAGGATGTTACATAGTTTGTCGCTTTGAATGGTACATTTCTAAGAGACATGGAAGTTGATCATCCATGTAAGGCTTCTCTTTTGCGTGGTAACTGTAAGAGCTAATAGAGAGTTGCAAGACTCACCTCAGGTTTAAGATGTGTTTCTAAACTGAGCTTTTAGTCTTAGAAAGACAGCTCAGAAATCAGAATGAAAACATTTCATACCTGACAGTGCTTGGCACTAATGTCATTTCTTTGACGCTGTTCAGTGCTGTGTGTGTTGATTTGTAATGAAGGCTGTCGTATTTACAGGAATGGAGAAGAGGGAACTCTCCTAGATGTTCTGAACTCTGCAGAAAAAGCCAAAAGCGTGGCACAGAAAGAACCATTCGTTTGACAATCTTACGATTAGGGGTATTTTTTTTCATGTTTTTCTGCGTATGTGCAAATTTGGCTGATGTTTTTTAATTCACTTTGCTCTCTTAGGTTTTAATCAAGACGTTAGACTATTCACCTTGGACATTTGAATCAGAAAAAATCGCCTCTGTAGAGATCATTTATAAAGAGGTTAAAAAAAAGGCAAATGAATCCAGTGGTGGTGTCAGTGATGAAGATGACAGCTATGACAGTGACAGCGATGCCATAAGTAATCACGACTATGCAAGGCGTGAGATCATAAGCAGAGTACCTCATTCCTCTGACATGCCAAATGTATTCGTGCAGTGCCCTACAAATAGCATATGTGACGACAGTAGCAGCCAGGCAAGTGAAAATCCGGACACTGACCCAGAAGATTTTGAAGAGCGTGAGATGGACATAGTAGAAGACTACAACGACACCAGTAGTGACTTACTTAATCCTTTCTCTGAGGTGAATTGTAACTATTTTCCTAGGCGAAGGAACAGTGCTTGCTTTACCATTAACTTAAAAACTGTGCAGTTGGGAACCTCTGAAGAGGACATGGATAGTTCTGCAGGTCTGCTTTCTTCTCAAGAAGATGTAGTTGACTGGCAGTGTACTCGTGCTGTTGAATCAAAACTCCTGGATGACACAGAAAGTGTGCAGAAACCACACTGTCATAACGGCTCTCATGAATGGCAAAATTCCTCTGGTTCTTCTGATGAAAGTGACTCATCAGATTCAGATACGGACCAAAAAACTGAATACATAAGAAGATGAACAAGTGAGAACCACTGTTATTTTAGAACATGCGAATTGATGTTGTTCAACTTTCTTTCTGCACTCAACATATCTTGTTTTTTTCTTTGTTTAACATTCTGTGAGTATATATGCCCGAACACTGAAAATATGCAACACTCATTTTGAACAAATATTTCTCTGATCTCTCCAGGTATGGTTCAGGTTGAATTACCCACAGAGAAACAAAAATTACTGTTCAGATGCAGCAGAAGGAGTAGTGATTTCATTTTGCAGTTTCATAGTGAATTATACCTTTTAGCTGTTGCAAAGTAAGTATTTTCTGTAACTCAAGTGAGAAATTAGTTTGTCCTACAGAGAGTTGTGAGTGGCCGGTCTCTCAGCCAGACCACTTTTTTACTTTGAAAGGACTCTGCTGTCGTTCTTTAGCTTTGTTGATGGATTACTCTGAAACCTGTTTTGCAGGATGGATTGCTGTATTCAAGTCAGTGAACTGATTTTTACAGATTTTACAGTTTGTGCAGAGAAAGCTGATCAAGTGAAACAATGGGGTGAAGATAAGAATACTCATCTTACCAGAGTTCTTGCTGTGAATTGAGGCATTAAATATACTTTTTTGTAATTTTTATTAATATAATTTTGCACAATTATTGAATACTACACTTTTTAATAATCTTTTTTTTATGACATTCAAACATGACTGCAATGTACAGTTATACTTTAACATTTATGCTTCATAAAAAGATAACTTTTCATATCCCTGTCTGAATTTTTACTCATGCCTTTGAAAAGCCACTATCCACCCGAGAGTCCTGAGAGAGCTGGCGGATGTCTTTGCCAAACCCCTGTCCATTATCTTTGGGCAGTCTTGGCTCACTGGGGAAGTTCCGCTGGACTGGAGGCTGGCGGACGTTACCCCCATTTACAAAAAAGGGCGGAAGGAGGATCCGGGGAACTACAGGCCTGTCAGTTTGACCTCGGTGACGGGCAAAGTCATGGAACAGGTTATCTTGAGTGCTATTAATGAGCACATACAGGTTAACCGGGTGATCAGGCCCAGTCAACATGGGTTTATGAAAGGCAGCTCTTGCCAATCAAACCTGATCACCTTCTATGACAGGGTGACCCGCCTGGTTGACGAGGGAAGGGCTGTGGATGTAGTTTTCCTAGACCTCAGTAAAGCCTTTGATACAGTTTCTCATAGTGTTCTGGTTGAGAAACTGATAACTGCTGGCCTGGATAGGCACACCCTCCTTTGGGTTAAAAACTGGCTGGATGGCCGGGCCCAAAGAGTGGTGGTAAATGGGGCTAAATCCGGCTGGAGGCCGGTCACCAGTGCATCTTTATCAA